GCACGGTGCTCAGGTCCACACAACACACACTCACACAAACACACAGCTTAATCAGATTTTGCCCCACAAACTTTTGTGTCTTTATGAATGTACGCAACCTGCTAGTTATCAGCCAGTACCAGAAATACTGGCTCAAAATATGCATATGAACTTAGAGGACACAGTAAATATACAGCATGCATGGAATATATACAGTACACTAAAATGAGAGCAGCTAAGGCCGCAGATGCCCTTGAATGAAAACAAAACAAAACAATTTCTTTGTCAAAGAAAATCATAGAGGGCTGTGATAAGCCTCCTTTCAGCAGCGCCTGACTGCTGTTTGGCAGCTCTGCTATGGAATGAGCACATGTGGAAACATGTTTATAGTGTGTTTAGCAGGAATGCAAACGATAGATGATTCGCAAATGATTCAAGTCCTATTCAGGTTATCAAGCACTGATGTCTGAAAGCAGGGAGGTGTAGAAAACTAATTTCTTCTGCTTCAATTATAGTCAAATTTGCCTGTGTTGATGATTTTTTATTTTTTATTTTTAACAAGCTTATTATCCCATTGAGAGACTGAGTTAGCAGATAAACACATGAATGGTTGAAGTCAGATAGAATGTTGAAGTGAGAGATAAAATGAGAGATAAAATGTGGTGAGCATGTAAATCCTTTCATACCATTTGCTTCTACGGTGCCGAGCACTTTTGATGTCGTAGCACATTTTAGATTCAGTAATTTAACGTGTAGCTATCCGAGTTTTCATAGTACTAAAGAAGCTAGCTGGCTGGCTGCTGGTGGACTGTTTGGCTTAATCATACCCAGACAGTTGGAGGAAGTACAAGTCTCTGTCCCTACAGGATCTACATTAAGTCTCCACTCCTCTAATCAGAAAGCCCTTCAACTACATCAGCATGTCCCTCTGGCCCCAACCGACAACCAAATCTCATTTGTCTTTACAACTTTTTAAGGAAATCTGAATTACTTCTCTATCAAGTCTGGAAAAACAATCACTGCTGTCTCAGTGTTCATTGTAATGAACAAAGTCCTTCACAGATCAGCTGTTTGTCTGTGCTCCTTTTGCCCTTGATGCCATGGAAGACACAGGGTGGGAAGTTCTGGGTGGCAGAAAGCTGAGATAGTTGTGGCCACAATGGGGTGCCAGGACTCTGTCAGTCAGCCCAACTCCAGTTCAACTCAAGCGGGTCATTCTCTCTTCACAGTGACATCTGAGAATACCAGTGATGGAGACCAGCAGTGAGGGGAATGGAGGAGCGGAGGGACCATGCCCTGGGTTAGATTGCACTGGGTGCTCAGATAAGACGACAGGAAAGGGCAGATTTGGGCAGGGCAACAGGGGAAGCTGGCTGAGTCTACTGTTACCAGGAAGAGCTCACTCATCCCTCAGATCACCTGCCACACCTGTGGAGGCCAGGATCTGGTTCACAGTGCCACCAGCCAGGAGCTGGGAATTTGTCACCAAAGCCTCGGATTGGACTTAATGTAAACTGATGTGGGGTTACTTCTACAGCAACTGTGGACAATAAATTATTTACAAAGCATACCAAGTTTTAAGATTTCGAACTTTCCAGGTAGCCATTGGTTTTTCATTAATTTCAGTACAGAAACAAAACTTGCAGGGAGACTTTAAACATGCACATAACATTTTCTCAAAGATGGTCCGTCCTTTTTGGTGCCTTCAGGGACATTTGAACATCTGATAATTGAAAAGCAGTAAAATGTGACAAGAGCAATATGACACTAACTTTAAATAAAAAAAATAAAAAAAAAAGGGCAAGCAGGTTTTATATCACCACAGGTTGATTTTCATACCATACTGAAGTGCATGGAAGTCTGTAGCATTATAGCCTTTCAAATTGAAGGATTTGCAATTGTTTTCTATTTTATATGATTGTTAATTAAATATATTAAGTTCTGACAAAATGAGCAAGAAGGGCTCTGGTAAGTTATGATAGTATTTGTCATAATTTTGACATTGATTCTATATTAGCAAAACTGATTAAGTCATAGATCAATAAATCAATCAAAAACCTGTGAGGCTAACAAGTTTGTGGATATGGAAAAGCTGTGATGTAACTCAGAAGACATATGGTCAGCCTTACATTCCTGCCAACACACACACACACACACACACACACACACACATCTTAATCTACACACACTAACAGCACACACACTGTAAAATAAACCACAATGTAGTGTCTTCATCTGGAGTGCATTTCCTGTCCACCGGGTTGGCAAATGGCCACCGGTTCCTGTTTTACACCACAGTATCTCTCAGTTGTACCTCAGAAACAGAAACAACTGTCTCATCACTGAAACCGGGACAGAACTTTGGTGACAAGCAGAATGACCTTAGACTTCTGTTCTGTGGGTGTTGAAATCTAAAGCAATGAGATATACTCCACACATCTGGGAAAACCTTACACAGGGGATTATGCTGGTTTATTATAGTTTTGATAAGGCACAGCTACCAGTTTTGCTTAATTCTCTCAACAAGAAGAGGTGTAATCATCGGTG